ACCATATTTCTAAGTTTTTGTTGGACAGTTGAACAGAACTGGTTGCAGTCTCACTGTTTGAATCTCCACTTTATATGCTCCACTTTAGTATCTTGAATAACTATTTGTAAGAAGACAATCTGTAGTTATCAACTAGTGATTTCTTACTGCTTATTTTTTCCTTGAATGTATGTATTATTTCTACCCATTTTCTGTTTTGTTTAGTCTTTCTTTAAATAAAATTTAAAAAAGAAGAAACCGAACTCTTCTTGCTTCATTTGTATGTTGAAAACTGGTAAATCAGCTGAATTTACAAGAGATGTGAAGTACAGTCACAGCAGCTTCCTTTGAATGTCAGTAAAGAAATGGGAAAAATGTATTGTGATTCATTTAAAAATACTTTCTCAGTTATAGATTTTAGCCCACCAAGATTTGATTTCTTAAAACATTACTAACATTAGTAAAAATCAAATAAACTGAGGAAAGCATTTCTCTGGGAATTAAGAGTTTTGCTTTACATACTTAACTCATTTTTGTCCTTTTGAGACAGGGTTTCACTACGCAGTTCAGGCTACCTTGAACTCACATCATAGCCCAGGCTGGTCTCCTGCCTCAGTCTCCTGAGTGCTGGGATTACAGCCAGCCTGCTTTATATACATTTAAAAGTATTTTTAAATAATATGGGAAGATGGTAAGACTGCAGTAGAAAAATACATGAAAGTAGACTTTCAAGCATCTAGTAAAAACAGGAAAATTACTTTTTCCCTCATTTGGCAAACATTAAAACAAATAGTAATATTCAATATTTGCAAGTGAGACAATCTTATCTTTTTGAAAACTAGCTATTTACACTGCAACAAGATTTCTAGAAAATATACTTGGCAAAACCCACTAAGAGCCTGAGAAATCCAACTTCCAGGAGAACATGGTGGATAGATAGCAGTAGCTATGGAGGCTCTCTGAGATACCCCACTTAAAATCCAGGATTGGTGCGGTATGAGGAGTCCTAAGCAAGGGGAGATACACCCTACCAACCAGGAATGAACTGAGCTAAGAGAAACCAACTGGAAATCCAATCTTAGTGCTATAACAGGAACAGATAAAATCTCAGCACAGGAAGCTATAACCTGCACTCCTGGAAGCTGTGATTTGAATTTCCTGCTGCTGCTGCTGTGTCCAAATCTGCAGGGCAGGGAGAGAGACACGCAAAGATCTGAGAGCGGGAATCTGCGAACGGAGTTGAGAGCAGGACTAGCAGGGAGCCCTACATTGACTTGCGGTGAGTGAGTGGAACAGGGACCCTTTCATAGAGTAGGAGGCTCCAGCAAAGGACATACTGGGACCAGGCACACTTCCAGAACAGGATGCTGCAGTGACATTAGCCGCATATTCCCCTCTCAAGTGGGATTGGCAGGGAGTGCCTGGCCTGGGTGACGCTGCTGACTAAGACTCAGTAGGCTAGCCCAAACGAGGTCCCAGTGCTTGGAGGTGCACCCTAGTGGTGAAGCCTTTGGTAGGTTGACCTGGAAGGGCAGGCCCAGCAGAGGCTGCCCAGGTCTGTGTCTCCCTAGTACACCGCAATGGGCAGGAACACGTAGCTGGCGCAATTCAAACAAACTGTAACAGGCAAAGAGAAAAAAAATTGGGCCTCCTACATTCACTTGTATGGAAGGAACAAATAGTATGGGAAGAGGAAGCAACAAGAAAGGGTCCTCAATCCCCAATTCTGAGAACACTGATCCAGGAAAGGGAAATGCAAAGGAAGACAGAAAACATGCAATATCAGACATGGTACCAATAGACATAAAGCGATATCTCCAGAGCCTCATAGACGAGTTTAAAAATGAAGTATTTAATGAAATAAAGCAAGATATAAGTAGAATAGTTAGAGAAGTGCTAAGCACCGCCCAAGAAAAAACAGATGGTGGAATGCAAGAACAGAAAAAATGGGGAGAATTGTTTGATGCAGAAAATAGAGAAAACATAGAATACGTGAAGCAGATTCAAAGAGATTACCAGGAAACTAAAAATTCTATCGAAAACTGGCATAACAGCTTGAAAGAAAATAAGGATAGATTATCTGAATTGGAGGGCAGATTTATAATATGGGAGCATGAAATGAAAAACTTCTTAAAAATAATAAGAAAACAAACAGAAATAATACAAAGGCTAGAATATTTTGATAAGAGGATCTAAAAGAATTAAGAACATAAAAGAAGAAGTAGGGACACAAACAAATGGACTACGAAAGCTACTCGCAGAAATAATCCAAGAGAATTTCCCTAATTTAGCAAAAGGTAAAGATACTCAGATGTATGAGGCATACAGGACCCAGCCACCTACAACCCAAACAGAGCTACACCCAGGCATATAATAATCAAAATTCCAGGAATGCAATATAAGAAGAGAATACTAAAAGCCATCAGAGACAAGAAACAGATCACTTACAAAGGAACACCCATCAGAATTACAGCAGACTTCTCAGCACAAACCATCAAATCATGAAGAGCGTGGGGGGAAATAATTCAAGCTTTGAAAGATAGCCAAGATTGACATATCCTGCACAACTGTCCCTAGAAATTGATGGAAAAACAAGGTGCTTCCAGGATAAAGAGGAACTAGGGGAATTTGCAACCACCAATTTAACTCTACAGAGAATACTGCAGGATATTCAAAAAAAGGAAAATACCAAGACTTCAGAAACAGTGGCAGAGAAGCCACAATGATTGGAGCAAAAAGTGAAATGAAGAAGACAAACTGACAACAAATGACAGAAAAAGAGCTCAACAGAAATGAGGCAGAGAAGATTGGATGGTAGGAACAGCTATTCAGGAGAAAACAAGACATCATAATAGCTAGTGCTGATTTAGTATCATCGTGCTTTGAAGTCCCATCAAGCTTTTATTCTTCTGTCTCCATCAGTCTTAACAGGTTGTATCTTATTGGATTTTATTATATATGATAATATAAGCAAAAATTTTATAGACAAGGAGATTATACAGAAACCATTTTTCATTTTCTGTTAATCGGTTCTAAATACCCTGTAATGTTGTCATTCTCTTGAATGGTTTTATATCGTCTTGATATGTTTTGTGCTACAGTATACGAAGTTATACTCAAAGATTTCAAGGAAAAAGACATTATGGTAACTAGTTTTATGTCAGGATATCTTGTGGTGAAACACTACTTTGCTTAAATGGTTATGCTTTGACCTGTGCTGTGCCCTCTTTTATCTCAATCTCCTATTTACTTTCTTATTTATTTACTTTCTTATTTTTATCTTTTTAATTAAGGGAAAAATAAATAAAAAAAGCAGGATACATTATAGTAACCCACTTTGATTTCCTATTAATTTGATTTGAAACTCTGTATAGCCCTCACCATCTTTCTTTGACTGATTTTCCTCTATTCTGCTTTGCTTGATAGTACCAAGTTCGAAAGTATAGGCAACAACTGTGAGGACAATAAGATTCATTATGACACCCATCCCGGTTGACTATTATCTTCTTTTAAAGTCCTGTAATGTCTCCAATGTTTTGGTTTTATTCTTTACTCTTTTGTTCAATTTTATTATAACTGATGATATAGGCAATTCTTTTTAAGATAGCAAGAGGCAGTATGGTAAGCATTATTGATCACCTAGTATTTTGTTTTTACATTATCTATTATGTCTATCCTTTTGATTTGACTGACTCTGTTCTGTTATGGCACATTTGGTTTTACTGTCTTCAAAATAAAACTAATAAGAACTGTAGGAATAATAAAACCCAAAAACCTTCTTTTGTCATTGTACAAAAGAAGGGAAAAGAAAGTTCTCTAAAAAATATAACTGCATATATATTTAAATGTATAAGATAGATAACCATATTACTGAGTTTTGTTGGATTATTGAACAAAACTGTTTGCAGTCTCACTGTTTGAAAGTCCACTTTATATGCTTTAATTTTGTACCTTGAACAACTATTTCTAAGATAACAACATTTACTCTATCAACTAGTGATTTCCTACTGTTTATGTTTTCTGAAATTCTGTATAACTTGTACTCTTTTTCTATTTTTTTCTTTTTCTCCTTAAAAAAAAAGAGCCTGAGAAATCCAATCCATGATTTTGTAATCTCTTTGAGAAAATAAATGGTTTCACAAAGATTCATGTTAAACATTTGTGTTGGCTTATCTACACTTAATGATGGAATGGTTAAATTGATTACATTTATTTGAGAGAATGATAGAAACCATCCAAGTGATTATTTTAAAAAGTTTTACAACAAAATTTACACATTTTGGGTTTTGTTGCTCCCATAGATATTAAAATCAAACATGATAAAACAAAGGTGTCAGTCAAAACCAAGGATAGACATAGCACATGAGGTAAAAACAGAGTACAAGGTTATAAACAACGGTTTCCATAATGCCTCTTGCTTCCTTAAGAAGAATTGTCCATCTCATTAGGTATTATAAAGTTGAACAAAACAGTAGAGAACAAGTCCAATAAAACCTAAACATTGTAAACCTTACAGAACTTCAAAAGAGGATAATAGTCAAAGCAGAATGGGCATCAAGTGAATCTTATTGTCTTCAAAGTAATTGCCTATACTCTGATACTTAATACTATCATACAGAGCGGAACAGAGTCTAATCAGTCAAAACAGGATAGTGGGAGTATTACAGGCCTTCAAATCAAGTTAATAGGAAATCAAGAAGGGAATTAAAAACTATTCTTTATGTCACATTAAGTGGGAAATGATACAACTCTAAGTATGGTTGTACAGAATTCACCCATAGTAGACGAAAGACAGCAGGGAAGGGTCAAAATACTGGCGATAGTCACATTCAAATTGTAAAATAATTACTTGGGTTTAGGATTTTAAAAAGTGTTTCCCCAATTTTATACAACAAATTTACATTATGTTATAAAATTGGGACCTCCAGTTAGAACTGAGAAAGTACATTACTAACACTGTCTACCTCAGTTAAGGATCGATTTTAAATTACATGCTGTCATGGCGGCTTGAACTAACTTACCTGTTGGGAGCACAGGAGTCCCAGGCAGCTTCATCAGGGTATGCTCTGTGGGTGCCTCATCTGTCCTGTTAGCATGACAGAAAGGAGGACATGGGGTAAAAAGGAACAACCTACGTACATTTGCATGTACATAAACCTAAACCTGAGAGAAAAAATCACACTTTAAAAAAAATTTGAAATACTTTTAATTCATGCTTGCTGGTCCATGTTTGCTGTATATAATGATTACATTCATTGTAGGGATTGGTCCATGGATAGCATTCATCTTAATTTTTTTTAAACTATTCCTTGCTTTCCCACATCCCATCCCTTCATCTCTACTTCCCCTTCCCAGCTACAAAGGTTCTATTTCCATATTTCACAGAAAAAGTGCACTTTACAACTAGATTTAGCTGATTTTGTCGTAGAAGTGGTATTGGAGTCTTTACTCATGGAGGAAAACTTTGCTTGGCTTTTTGGGTATGTGTGGCCCCAGGGCTCTTCATGGGCACGTGGCTTTCCACGTGCACAGAGTCTTCCATGATAGGTGGAGTCCGAGGTTGTGTAGTCTATGTTTACACTGCACTCGTGATATCACTGATAATGGGTGGCATCAGCTCCAATGAAATATTCTTCCTACAGCCTCAGGTCCTGGAGTTTGCCAATCCAGAGAAGCATGGGATTTACCTAGTAACTCTTTTGCTTTCTTATGTATGTTAGTAATACAGCACAGTGCCAGGTGTGGTGTGCATTCCTGTACTCCTGGCACTTGGAAAGTTGAGGCAAGATGATTCCCACGAGTGCAAGGGCAGGCTGAACTACATAGTGAGACTCTGTCTCAAAAAACAAAAATTAAAAAAAAAATAAAAAAGGAATATGGGAACAGTGATGCTTATTTGGTGAGTTGGTGAATGTACACAATATAATCTTGATCATTTCCAGTCCTTTCCCTGCCTTTCTTTTCTCCCCATTCTCCTGATATCTTCCCCATTTCTGAGAGTCTGTCTACTACTTTCCTGTCATCTCTCCTTTGTTAATTATTTTAAAAATATAAAGTATAAGTTCCTCATACAAAAGAAAACACATGATATTTTGAATCTGGCTTATTTTGCTTAACATGATGGCCTCTAGTTCCATTCTTTTTCCTGGAGAGAGAACGTTTTCATTCTTATTTATGGCTGAACAATACTCCAGTGTACATCTATGCCACATTTCTTTTCTCTACTCATTTATAGGTGGGTAGGTAGATTGTTTCCACACCTTAGCTACTGTGATTTCATTCCTATGAACATGGGTATGTTTGTATTGCTATATAATAGTGTCTTCAATTCTCTAGGTATTTTATGACTGAGTAATACTCCAGAATGTATCTGTACCACATTTTCTTTATCCATTCATCTGTGGATGGAGAGCTAAGCTGCTTCTGTGAGATGGAATTTAATGTAGTTTGGTTTGCACTTCCCTACAGGCTAGACATGTTGAACAGTTTTTCATAGACTTTCTGGCCATTTGTACTTTCTCTTTGGAAAATTATCTGTTGAATTCAATAGTCCATTTATTGATGAGGTTATTTGTTCTTTTGAGTTCTTTTTATTGTCTAGATATAACCTTCCATCAGAAGCTACAAAATGGGAGAAAATTATTAATAGCTATTAATAGCTATTGATAATAGCTATTAATAGCTATTAATTGATAGCTATTAATAATTTTCTCCCATTCTGTAGCTTGTCTCTTTACTCTAGTCTTCTGTGCAGATGCTTTTTAATTAGATGCAGCCCTATTTGTTGATCTTTGATTATTATTTTTTTTTTGTGGTACTGGAGGTCGAACTCACAATCTCATGCTTGCCAGGCAGGCACATATGCCACTGAGCCAAATCCCTAGCTCTGATCTTTGATATTATCGCCTATGTTATTGGGGTTCTTTGCAGGCAGGAAGTCTTGCCTGTGCCTATGGCTTTCAGCATTTTCCCTAAGTTGTCTTCCAGCAGTTTGTTCCTCTGGTCTTATGTGTAGGTCTGTGATCCGTTGTGATCTGCTTTTACTACAGGCAGTGATGAATATCTAATGGTAGTTTTAATCTTCTGCATGTTGGTAACCAGTTTTCCCAGCACATTTGTTAAAGAGACTGTCTTTTTCTTCATCATATCTTTTTGGCCTCTTTTCCAAAAATCAGATGGCTGCAGGTACATGGAGTAGTTTCTCTCCTGGACTGGTCTGCTCTACTGGACTGGTCTGCACATCTGTTTCTTTTCCAGGACCGTGTTTTTGTTACTGTAGCTTTGTATTATGATGCCTCTAGCTTTTTTCCTTTTGCTTTGGATTGCTTGGGTTAGTCTGAGTCTCTTCAATCTGAATTTTAGGAAATCTTGTTCTATGAAGAATATTGTCAATATTTTGATGACAATTGCATTGTATCTGTACATTGTTTTTGAAACCATGGATATTTAAACAATATTGCTTCTGCCTATCCTTTAACAAAGGAGGTCTTTCCATTTTTAATGTTTTCTTCATCTTCTTTCTATAATGTTCTGTAATTTTCATCACAGACATCTTTTGCCTTTTTGATTCAGTTGATTCTAAGTATTTAATTTGTTTGAAAGTATTGTGAATGGATTTGCTCTTCTGATCTCTTTCTCAGTGGGCACACTTTTGATGTATAGGAACATCATTGATTTTTGTGTGTTGATTTTGCTTTTTGCCATTTTGTTGAATTTATCAGATTTAAAAGTTTTCTAGTGCTATAGAGACTTTTATTTTAAAATCATATAATCTACAAATAGGCATAATTTGATTTCTTTTTATTCTATTCATATCCCTGTTACTTTTTATCTCTTTCTGATTGATCTTGCAAAATTTCAAGTACTATATTGAATAGTAGTAGTGAAACCGAACACTTTTTTGTTATTCTTGATTTTGGAGGAAATACTTTAAGGTCTCAGTATGATGTGAGGCTGTGAGCTTGTCATGTATGACATTTATCAGGCTGAGGTAAAGCCCTCTATGGCTTATCATCAGTTTTTTTTTTTTTACTTATGAAAGGGTGCTACATTTTCCTTAAGTTTTTTTCTCCATCTTTTGAGCTGATCATGTTTAATCCTTGATTTTATCTACGTGGAATGTTACATTTATGAATTCATATGTTATGAACTTTTCTTTCATCCTTGGGGTGAAACTAACTTGGTCATGGTGAAGAATCTTTTTTTTTTTTTTTGTACTAGGGATCAAACTCACAACTTCACACTTGCCAGGCAGGTGCTTGTTCTGCTGAGCTAAATCCCTGGCCCTCAATGAATGTGTTATTGAATTGTATTTGAATGTGGTTTCAATGGTATTGCATTGTTAATGTGTTATTGAATTGTTTTTGCCTAGATCTTATTGAGAATTTTTACATATATGTTAGTTAATGATATTGCTGTTTAGTTTTTTACTTTTTCACTGAGTTCTTGTTTGGTTTTGGTATTAGGGTAATGGCAGATTTGCAGAATACATTTGGAATCTTTGCTTCACATTGCATGGAAAATTTTCAGAAGCATTGGTATTAGCTTTTCTCTATACTTCTGGTAAAATTCAGCAGGCAATCCATCAGGTCTTGAACTTTTCTTTGTAGAGTGTTTATTATTGCGTGAGCTTCATTGCATGTTACCAGTCTTCTCAAAAATTCTTCTTGGCTCGATTGTGGAAAGTCACATGTTTCTAGGAATTTATCTTATAAATTCTCCAATTTATCAAAAATACAAGTTTTCAAAGTAGTTTCTAATTAATCTTCTGGGTTTCAGTGATGTCTGTTGTAATTTTGTTTTCATATGTAATTTTACTAAAGTGAATCTTCTCTTCGGTAAATTTGTCAAAGAGTTTATCAATACAGTTCATCTTTTCAAAGAATTTACTCTTTGAATCATTGATCTTATTCTAAATTCATTAATTTCTGCTGTGGGATTTATTTTTTTCCTCTTCTTGTTTTTAGGTTTGATTTATTCTTGTATTTTTAGGACCTTAAGTTGCATCATTAGGTAATATTTGGGGGATATTTTTAAGATCTTAAGTTGCATCATTAGGTAATATTTGGGGGATGATTCTGTTTTTCTAATGAAGGCACTCATTTTAGACTTTTCATTTTGTCCCACAGATTCTGCTGTGTTGTGCTTCTCTTACAATTTGACTCTAGGATTTTAAAATTTCTTCTGTGATTCACTGATCATTCAGGTGTGCAGTATTCAATTTTCATGCATTTGTGTAGTTTCTATGGTTTCTTTTGATGGTTATTTCTAGTTTCATTCTATTGTGATATGATGGGACACGTCAGATTATTTCAATTCTTTTGTATTTATTGAGACTTATGGCCTAGTATATGGCTATTTTGGAGAAAGTTTTGTAGGTTTCTAATAAGAATGTGTGCAGTGGTATATCAGCTCATGAATGCTTTTGTTTGTGAACAATTTGGTTCTAAAACAGAAGCATTTGGCAAAGTTCTGTTTTTGTTTGTGAACTCTGCTTTGGGTGATGAACACGAATATGGCCATCTTTTCCGGAATCATGGAATGGATTAAGATTGTGAAATGGGGCTGGGGATTTAGCTCAGCGGCATAAGCGCCTGCCTTGCAAGCGTGCAGTCGTGAGTTCGATCCCTGGTATTGATAAAAAAAAAAAAAAGATTGTGAAATGAGATGCCACTGTGTTTCTTATGTTTGTTTATTTATTTTTTGTTTCATTTTTTATTTGTATATTTGTGAGAGTGGGGAATTCAAGTCCTCTCTATGATTTTATTTTTTATATCCTTTTATGTCTAGTAGTGTTTGCGTTATGAAACCACACACTGATATTGTTTATGTATACATTTACTATTGTTATCTTTCTTGGTGAACTGCTCCCTTTACCAATATGTAGTGACACTTTACGTCTCTTCTGAACAGTTTTGTTTTGAAGTCGGTTTTGTCAGAATACCAGTGCTGCTTACTTCCTGATCCAGTTGCTTGAAGTATCATTTTTCTATCCTTTACTTCCAGTCTGTGTATGTCTTTGCAGATGAAGCGTGTCTCTTGGATGCAACATGTAGATTGGTCTTGCTTTGATCCAATCTTGCAGTCTATTTTTTTCAATTAAAGAGCCAAGATTATTTACATTAAGTGTTACTGAAAGGTCTGTATTAATGCTTGCTATTTTACTATTTTTTAGGGTTTAATTCATTTCTGTTTCTGTTCATCTACTCTTCTAGGGAGATTTATACTTTGCGGGGCCTCATGCTTACTGTTTTAGGACTCCCTTGAGTATTTTTTGTTATACAGTCTTGGTAGTCATAAATTTTTTAGTTCATCCTTTAATGGGTTGACAATTATTTTCTTTCAGGACTTCAAAAAATACTATTCCACAGCTTCCTAGGCTTTAAGTTTGCTCTTGAGACATCTGTTATTATGATGGGTTTGCCTTTATAAGCTCTAAGATGTTCTCTAAAAGCTTTTAGTATTCTTTCTTTGTTCTGAATGTTTGACTCTGCTGTGTCACAAAGAGGTTCTTTTCTGATTGTGTCTCTTGCAGTTCTAAATGTCTCTTTTATCTGGATATCCATCTTATTCTCTAATTTTAGGAAATGTTTGATAATGTCAGTGAATAGACTTTTTATAACATTAGCTTGTACTTTGACATTTTCCTTGAACCAGCATTGCCTAAATTTGTTCTTTTCGGGCTGTCTAGGAGCACTTGGATAATTTTTTTAAACCAGGATTTGAACTCAGGACATTGTGCCTGCCAGGTAGGCGCAGAGCACTTGAGTAATCTTTGATCATCTCTCCCTATTTTTTCATTGTTACTCACTGAATGTTCTAGAATGTCCACATTGTCTCCAATGCCTGATATTTTGTTGGCTTATTTTGCTCACTGTGAACATTTTCAATTGAGTTTTTAATTTGAATTATTGAGGTTTTCATTTCTGGGATTTCTTTTTGATTCTTTCCCATAACTTCTAATACTTTACTGAAGGATAGTAGTCTTTTATATCTTTTGTTGGTTTCCTAAATTCATTCAGTTTCTTATTTCTAATACTTTTGATTTCCCTGATAATTTTAGTAATTGATTCATTCCACTGTTTATTTGTCTCATCTTTGATCTCATCAATCATTTTAATCGCCAATTTTTGAATTATTTGTCAGGAGTTTCATTTACTTCTGTATCTGTGGGAACAGCTTTTTTGGAGTTAAGGCTTTTTGGAAGCATTTTGTTTCCTGTTTTCTCATTATAGTTGTGTTTTGTGTTTGTAAATCAAATGGGAAGGCTGTCCTTTTCACTGTTGTGTGGGGTCTTTTTGTCAAGTGTATTTCTCTTTCTGATGTGCTCTTTGTGGATATGTCTCTGTGTGAGAGTTTCACCCGACTTTCTTCTCAATGATCAGTTCAGTAGTTAACATTGTTTTGAGAGTAGAGAGAATCTAACAGTAACTTCACCAGTATAGAAGGTAGCCATGAATAATATCTGATAATTAGGATCTTTTTTTAGGGATCTTTATTATTTTGATATCCCAGAGAAAGAGAGAAAAAAAATTCTTTCTTCCTTCCATTTTTTCTTGTTATGGTTTATGTCTAGATACTGTTCCAGAGCCTCCCACGATCATAGGTGGAGCTTTTGGAAATTGGCTAGATCATGGACGTGTAATACTGGATTATGAGTGGAATAACTGGATTAGTTAACTGATTGGTTTAGCAGAGTTCTGGGTATTATCATGAGAAGGCCCACCTTATGTGAGGGTGGCACACTGTGAGCTAAAGTAAACTTTTCCTCTCTAACTTGTGGGTGTTAAGTATTTTGTCCCAGGATGAAAAAGTAACTAAGAAATTAAGATACCTTTTTTCTCCCTCCCTCTTTTTCTTTCTTTTTTTCCTCTTTCCTTTTCTCCCTTTGTTTCCTTTTCTCTTCCTCTCTTTCTTTCATTGGTAAGCACACTTAACATAAAATATCTGTCTCTCGTTACTCTTCAGCAAAACTGGCAGTACAGGAGCGGATGGAGTGATTTTACTCCTTTATCTTTTTGACTCAGGCAAGTCTTGGCATATTTTGTGGCTTAAAAAAACAAACAAATGGCCTCTGCTCTCCTTTTAGCTTTTGTTTTGTAATAGAAGGAATCTATAGAGTATTTTATATTTAAATCAGAGAAGTCAGTACCTCTGTGTCCTATTAACAAAGTTAAACTCTATTACTGAAGTTTTTCTAAGCCACATTGCTTCTCCTAGCAATAACTTATTGACATTTGTGCAAAAAGGCATAATCAATCAGGAAAAACTGTGAGAACATTGCTCAGTTGGTGGAGTAGTGTAGAAGAATGAAACGTCTTCTTTTAAAAAGATGATACTTAAAAAAAAGATTTTACTATCACTAGAAAATGTGATGAAGCAAAGACATGTTAAATAAAAATGTAAGTGCAGAACAGAGTACCAAGTTCAGAGCAGAGGAAATTTGAGGCAGGCTCAAAGAGACAGCTAAGACCCTACTGGGAGGTAGAAACCCACTGGAGCTTGAAAGCAGGTATTATATGGAGAAGTCAGGTCCCTTCAGACAAATGGAAAGGTTTTAGGTCAGAGCCTGAGAGGGCAAGGAGGCAGCAGTGAGGTCATGGTGATGGGAGGCAAGTCGGAAAGGTCAGAGGTGAAAGGTCTTAATATTAGTTTGACCTCTGCTACAGGGAAAGCCCTAAGAGAAACGCATGACTGTGATTTAAGCGCAAGGTGATTTAAGCAACAATTTAAATAGTATTATTTATTAAATTGTGGAAAGAGTATATGAACACTCACAAGAGAATGTGGTAATCTGGGGCTAGTTACAGTGGGGTGCCAGAACCACCCTGAAACCGGAACGCAGAGAGGATGCCAGGAGCAAGACCAGGTCTGCAAAAAGAGCTGCCTGACAGGAGCTGAGCTGAAGGAAGTCAATAGCTCAGGGATGGTGTGTGTGTGTGTGTGTGTGAGAGAGAGAGAGAGAGAGAGAGAGAGAGAGAGAGAGAGAGAGAGACTCTTCTCCTTTCTACTGGTCTTCCCTACCCAGAAGCCAGAGCAGCAGGGATGGTGATGCTGCAGGTCTTAACGTTCAGCCTCCTGTGCACACAGGGGGAAGATGTGGGAATGTGTTGAATGTTTTTGGATGGGCTCAGTGGAACAAAAGGGATATTCTAGATGTATTAATCTAGCAGCTGTTATGCAAGCAAAACAGGTTAGAGGCAGAGATGCCCATTAGGGAAATCACAGTTGGCATTTTTCACAGAGTAAATTAATAAGGTCCTAGGACAAGTTTGTGGCAAAGAGAACAAAAACAAATGTGAAAGGCATTATAAAGATTTTCCAGTAATTCATATGGCCAAATTTTGTGTCTCTGTAATATTACATTTAGGCCTCTAAATTTTTAAAAATGTATGTAATTTGTGAGTTAGAGTTTAGCAACATCTTCCTTCTTTAATTAGTTTTCTTTTTATTTGTTTTCCTTTTTTACATTCTGATTTTCTTATTTGATATGCAGCTCTTGTTGAGGATATAGCTCAGTGCTTCAGTAATTTACTTTGAGGAAAACTAACACTTTATAGAATACCAAATGAGAATTTCAAATTCAGGTTGCTTTCTGATTTCATTAAATATTTTCCCAGTGTAACTAATAGTTTACCATAAATTCTAAAAACCAAACTATTTTAATTGCTCTATAACTTATGAGTGAAAATATTATATATTATCATAGTGGTGACTTTCTTTTTTTTCTGCAAACAATGTAAATGTCTGTTTCAATCTATAAGTTCTATCCATTTTTCTTTTATATACTCATTTATCTTCAGTATAATATAGGCATAAATTGTCTGTCAGAAGCACCTACGCAGATCTTGGTGGCTGACACAAATCATAAAAGTACAATAGCTTAGTCTCACTCCATTATATGATCTTTCGAAAGTCAAAAGCACGAAGCACTCTATTTTGGGTACTTACTTCTCAGGGAATCTTCTCTGTTTTATTTTCTGCAAAAAGAAAAAAAAAAGTAATTTTACCAGGAGATAATGCGAATTGAAGAGCTCGTCTATTTTCATTCCCTTCTCCCTTCAACTACATTTCAACCTGTCTGAACAATACCATTTTGCAGGAATAAAATTCCCATTGGTCTGATCAGACATGCTGAAACATTTCTTCACTTGATTCTTGTACTGTGAAACCGGGTACCAGGGGGCAGGGGCAGGTGTGGCAGGCTGCCCCACTGCCCCTGGAGCTCAGGCTCACCTGCTGAAGAAGGTTCAGGTGCTCTTGTGAGCTGCTGAAGTTTCTCCCAATGTCAAAGAGGCAGAAGGTCTCCTGCTGGCAGGTACTGACCCATTGCTGGTATTCCCCCGTGTCAGGGATGCGATCCAGAAAGATCCGGTATGCTTCCCACACTGCTTCCTGGCACACTGCAATACAGAGCCACTGGGGTGGGAGACAGCCTCATCTGAAGAAAACTCTACCTCCAAAGCACGCTCTCATAAAGTGGACAGCCCTTTCCTGGCTTATGTTGGCACATGTACAGTCCATAGAAACGAATTCATTGAGCTCCTACTTTGTGCTACGGAGAGAAAGAGAAGAAGGTGTGGGATGTGGAGTGTGTTCGTTCATGTGTAAGACTGCAGGGTGAAACACGGCTGCTGAGGCAGATCTCACTGGAAAGGTGACTTCTGAGCAGTTTGGGAAAAGCAAGATCCCCAAATAAGAGCGTGAGGATGACAGTGTGACCACTGTGCCACTCATCCGTACCTCATCTTCCTGTAGCACAGTGTCCCTAGGCTGTCATTCCAGAGAACAATTGTAGATAACAGTACTCCCACAAGCAATAGTGAAATTAGTTGCGGAATAACACATCTTTGAGGCTAAAGTGATTTTTGATTCTTTGCTTTCAACAAAGTAGATGGAGTGGACAATTGGTCATTAAAACAGTGACAGATTATGATGTGACTGTTGGCATATGATGGCAAAGGAGTTTAAAGAACAAGGACATTATTATAACAAAATTTTGTTCTCATTCACCTATTAATGTAAACAAGTTTTCCTAGCATCTGAGTGAGTAAAAGAATAAGGATAAAATTTATGCTAAATTCTATCATAGTAATGCACAATAGAATAATAAAATAATGACTAATGGTATGTGAACTAATGGAAGAGAAAAATCAAAGCATCTTCATTGATCCAAAGGTAGAAGTTCCTTCCAAAGCTCTATTTGTCATTTTGCACATCTAATTTTGTTTACAAATAAGAGTACCTATAAAAGCTGTATTCACCTTATCTCATCCATTAATAAAAACGTATAGAAAAGTTCAAACTTATTAATTTTTATTAGTTCAAACTTATATTTATTTTAATCAGTTACATATTCAGAATTATTATATATGCACCTGAATCAAGAAGAAATTTCTTTTTATGCAGAAAGCCTATAGTTATGGAAAATACAAATATCAGTTCGATCTATATACTTTTTTATAGAGAAGTATTTTGGAGCAATCAATAACAGATTTTAAAGCATAAATTCACTGAAAGAGGACTGAGTGGAAGAGGAATGGAGATGTGGTTGTGTGGTGAAAAGGAGCCACAGGATGTTTTCATTTCTGAAGGAGTCAGGTCATGTATCTGTTAAAATAATTTGATGGTTCAAGAAGAGTGGCAATGTGGATTCTAATGGACATATGAGTGCGATTCAATTCTTGCTTTATTCAAAACATCAATACTTACAGCTCCCCCAAAGTTGTATCCCTTTGATTATTGATACTTCGAATGAAAAATTTGAGATTGCAATTGAAAAGTGTGCAAGAGGGGACCATAGTTTAACAGTCACTTTAGGAGTTTAAGTGAACACAAAAATTCAGGCAGAGTTCCTTATAAACAGTTGTGACATGTTGATTTTTACCCCTGGAGGGATTGGAAGCAACTGGAAGCTGTAGGGCGAAGGCTGATATCCCCTGACTTTCTGAGGAAACCTTTGGTGCTGCTGTGCTGTGGACTGGTAGGAGGAACAAGGGGAGACAAGACCAGTTTGGAGACGCTGTCTCCTATGTGTTACTCCACGTCACTTATTCTGTATTCAGACTTCTCTAAGATTTCCATTTTCACAGGCAAAGGGAATTCCAGATCTCTAGAAGCACATACCCTTTCCCAGCAGCGAGCTGACCAGAACCTTCGAGGTAACTGATGCTTTTTGTCATGAACTCACACAAACACTATTAGGTGCTGGCTTACCACTTGACTGTGTTATCTTGCTTCTGCCATTTGGGCAAACAGTAGTGTCAACACACGAGCACCAAGGGAATAATGTCACATTAGAAAGCCGCTTCCCTCCTGTGAGGCAGGGGTCAGGTATTGGTTTCAGTGCTTTGCTGATATCAACCAGACCTTCATTTCTTGTCAAAGGTTTACATGCCATGTAAGAAGGAAACAACATTTTTATATTTTGAAACTTATATAGATTCTAAGAGTTGTATGTCCACTCTGAGCAAATCAACTGCCCTTGCTGTTCTTGTAACTTATGTAATTTACATCATGTTTGGCCATGGTTTTGCCCTTCCATCTTTTCTTGATGTATCTGATGGTTTAATTCAAGACCAGTCCAAGTATCAGCAATACAACACTAAAGCAAATTAGTATGATCTTTGAGGGCTTTCACAGATAATATGTGTATGTGGAACTTTTGGGAAATCATAGTGACAGTCTCATCTGTACACCGGTTCATCACAGGCTTGGGCCTCAGATGAAGTCTGAGTTAAATTGAAGTTTTGAGGTAATTTTGTTCCCAGTTGAGCGCAAACTCAGTCTCCGTGGAACTTCATGCTTCTGCTCCTCGGCAGAGCACTGTAACCTGAGACAGCTATGCAGGGATTTGGCAGGTTGTGCCCTGCCCTGTCATATGGTTAGAGAGGCTGTGGCTGCACTGTGAGGTAGGAGGCCCTGGCTTTTGGCGTCTGTGTCCTCTTTGTTCTGCTTCTTTGCTTGATGCCCTTTCTCCCCCTGCAGGACCGGAAGCTGCTCCACTCCCATCACTTCCTGTTTTACAGAAAGGCCCTGGGAGGACTTCACCCTGATGCACAAGAAAGCTACTTGAAGCACTGTGTCCCTGGGACTGTGTACTTTTAGGGATCATATAAAAAGGATGAACCAGAGCCAGTGGATTCCCTTCTGCTGCTTTATCTTTTGCTTTTCTTTTTGAGAGGGAGAGGGAGAGGGAGGGGGAGCGGGAGAGAGAGGAGAGAGGAGAAAGAGAGAGAGAGAGACAGAGAGAGAGAGACAGAGAGAGAGACAGAGAGAGAGACAGAGAGAGAGAGAGAGAGAGAGAGAGAGAGAGAGAGAGAATGTGTGTGTGTGTATTATGTGATGTTATTATTTATATCTGGGCTCCTGGGAGCTTCCCACAAGCCAGATGGTGCAGAATTCTCTTGTGATTGGGAAAAACACCCCTCTATCTCCGAGAGAATTCCTCATTCTTATTGAAAGAGCATCAAGAAACCAAACCAAACCAAGCCAAACCAAACCCTCTAAAGATGGATACATCAAAGTGCTGAGAGTGATTGGAAAACTCCTCAAAGTTGGATTATTCTCAGTTTACCGACTCAGTATCATCCTCTTCTGGCCTACTGGGACACTTGCCCCAGGGATTCTAGAGAAACCAGCACTGTGCCTCCCTGGTCTTGCCCAGTACCTGGAATCTGAGCACAGAGCCAACCTGTGTGCTCCTTAACCACACTGGAAGCATTCTGACAGCACCTGGCCTAGAGGTCAGCATAGGTGTCCATAATGGATGTCCAGGGCTGCAGAGGCTTACTGTTCACAACTGTGAAGTACTAATTGAGACCAAGGTGTGGAAAAGCCCAGAACAGGTTTGACACACATTAGACAGAGAGATACGCTGGAATGGGAGTCTAGTGCTGCCCCAGCTCTGCGACCAACTGTGCCCTTGACTACTTTACTTTATGTCTTCAGATCTCAGTTGGTTAGATGTCGTCTCGATCAGCACTTCTAGAACCTCCAGGTATAAAACATTACTTGGTTATCATGTTAAAATGCAGATTCTGACGGTGGAGTGGGAGATGAGAGTGGACATGTCTAATGATCTGTGGTCAGCACTTAGATCAGCAACAATTAGAAATTTATCTATTTTTAACCTGCTCTAAATTGCACATCACTGAGAAATATCTGGCTTTTGAGCTCTCATGAGGAATACAAAGCTTATTATTTTTGATGTTGGGATTGGGAGAGAGGGGAAGGGAAAGATAGAGAGCAGCGTGGGAAGAGGTGGGGATCTGAGGGAGAACTATGCAAAAAGCAGAAGCTTGTCTGGGAGGAGGATGGAGTTCCGCCTGGAGACTTCGTGCACAAATTTGCTTTGTTTGCATTTATACTTTGGAATGAGCATGTTTACGAGTCTGCTGAAAAGCTTAGAATATTTTCACTTGTGTTGCTTTAAGCATTGGGAAAAAAAAATAGCTCTATATTTCATTTGACTTAGGAATATGGACGCTTTCTCCTCTCAGTTTGAAAGATGTTAGCAAATAATTTTGTAAAGCCAGTGATGAGACAGTGAATGGGTAACTCCATCAAAGACACGTGCTTTGCACCTGGATCTTATTTCTTGTTTCTTTGTGAACAAATTTGTTAGACTTAAGAAATCCATACTGATGAATAGTAAAAGTTCTGCCACCCAAGAGCAACCATAAAGATAATGGGCTTCACTGCTGCGAGGAGAAAAACAGTGGTTTGTTTTATCCAGGAAAACAAAATGAAACAGGCAAACCTAATTGTGAATAAAGAACTAAGAATAAAAATGCAGAGCTAAAAATGTGATTGTAGCAGTATTTTCTACTACAAAGATCTGTAGTAGATCTTGTTTGTGAATTTTGTAAAGAATTAGAAGTTGCATGAAAATGGTTAGCAACAGTGTTTATTCCAATGGGATGCATATAAATACCATATGTATTGGTATGTTTGTAGTTTTATCCATGAACAAACAATATAGAACTAGCCAGGGTCATTTTCTGATCAGTCTGTAGCCATAATCCAAAGGAATCACTTACACACCATCGTCTCTTCTTTACATTCCCAATGAATGGGCTCTTTGACTGCTGAGTCCATCAACTAGGACTTACTGAGAACGTGCTTTGTGGAGATGCTGTGCTAATACTTTAGAATATTAAAATAGAACACAGGATTCTTTTGACTATGATTCAGTACTTTTCATTTTTCCAGGGTGCAGCTTCTCTCAGCAAACTTTTTTTTAAACTTTCACATAAAATGATGCACATGAGGGAAATAAGGCTTAGTCATGAAATGATTAGTTAATGATGCCTCCCAAACCCAATTATGCCACGAAAATAAGTCTCAGTCATGAAATGATTAGCTAGTTATGCCTCCAAAATCCATTAAGAACCCCTCAGGTTAACTTAACCCTGCGCACATCTTGAAGATGTAGACATCCAAGAATTTTCCTGGAGGTTGGTATCACCAAGTGAGTTCTCAGCTGTCGGAATGCACGGCACTGCACAGGTGAGGGAGGAACGAGCTTGCTCTGGTTGGTGGGATTTAAGGAGGGCAGGGAGGCTTCATGTTTTGGAATATGTAGTCTGATCAAATGGAAATCAGCAATCCCCTGCAACTTTCCCATAGAAGATGAATTGAATTTAGGATTCAGAGAGACAAAGTACTTCGCACCATGGGAGCTACTTGGAAAATTTAACAGAACTATAATGCTGATTTTTTTTTTTTTCAAAAAAGAAGCCCTGGGAATTTTTTTTTTACCCATGGTGAGTAAATGCAAAGGACAACGCACTGATAGGCGCGATGTGATTTAATTCTTTAATGATTTCTGGGAATGTGATGAGAACCCTGTTACCCTCCTGGGGGTGCAAACTGCATTTTACCTCTGCTGCAAATCACAGCAACACCCCACATTATATCGCAGTATCCACCCTTATTCTGTTGCTCTTCTGCACTCCAACCTGCTACAAAACCACCAAACTTTAGAGAAGCTTCATCTGAGTCTGCAATAAATGACTTAAAATTATCAAGAAGAGAGACAAAATCTACATAGCAAAGTTGCTTTTGAAAACTGACTACATCAACTTGCCCAGACTCCTGATGCTGCAATAATTCTGCATATTTTATTTTTATTTCACAAGAACACTATTAATATTCCATGTTGGGTTTTGTCAAAAACAAAACAAAGAGGCAAAACACACATTTCTAGTGACTTGTCAGATGCTATAATGGTTCAGTGTTGCACAAGCACAGGGGGTGTTTAAAAATACAGTGAATATTTAATTTAAAAAGTTGATTACAGTAAAAGACACAGCATCATTAATCCTGCTCTCCATACTCGCCTCACTTTGAACACACTTAGCCCTTCGTTTTTGATACTTTCTGAAACAGCTCTGACAGTCTGTTTTGATGAGTTTCTTTATGAGGTGTGATCAAAAATGTGGTGAATGCTTTGCTGAGTGGTGTCCAACACAAAGGCAGGCTCATGAAAGCCCTGCAGCATGGCCTTATCTACCTTATAGATGATCTCTGGATCTGGTACTATGTAACTTTTGATTGTTTTCCAGTCAAAATGACTATGAAAGGTAAATGTTTTGAATAGATTCAGGACATAAAGGCAGCTACAACAGTGTAGCTAAAGACACTCATGAAAAAGGACGTCCAGGAATTACTTCAGAAAGTGGCAAGAATGATAGGATAAATGTGTTTGAAGTGAGGGGAAGTTTTTATGACTGTTTTTTAGTCTTTTTTGAGACGGTGTTTCATTATGTTTTCCAGGCTGGTCTTGAACTCACTTTGCAGACCAGAGCAGCCAAGAACTCAGCAATCCTCCTGCCTCAGCCTCCTGAGTGTTATGATCATAGCCATGGGCCACCATGCCGGGCCAGTGAGGGAAAGTATTTTTTAAGGGTGATTAATGGCAATGTATCTTTTTCCGCAGTAAATACGTTTGAAGAGCATTTGTAACTACTCTAATTTTTGACTACACCTTGTTATTTTAAATGGCACAAAATGATATGTAGCACAGTTATCAGTGTTTATTGTTCCTTGCTATTAGACTTCTGTGCTAATTTTTATAACTTTTGAGGCTGACAGACCCTGGAAATTTGGGGCTGAAAACAACCTATAGATGAATCAAAGGGGGAATGAAGATGATGAAGGGCTAAGCAGGCTTCTCCTCTGTCCTTACCTCTCAATCTATAGTAAGCCTGGAGATTGGCTAAGATCTGTTTCAGGGACTCCTCTGGACAGACTTTAACCCCAGCTGGGAAAAGTGCTGATCTTTTTGTTCGAAGTTTTGCCAAATCGAATATTCGTCTCATGGTTGACATTTTATGCATTTTTGCAGTATTTTCAGTTGTTTCGATTCTTGGGGCATTGTCTACATCTTTAGTCTCAGAATGGTGTATTGTAATGGCGGTATCTGTAAAAGAAAGATTGATTTCCTCGTGAATATTTGCACTTATGTGATACATGTATATGGTTAAATGAATGAAGTAAACTAAACATTACCGTCCCCTGATTATGAAATTTCTATTGTGGTGCAACTGCCAACTGTAATATTCCAATGTTAAGATACTTTCAGAAATAATAGTATAATGATCTGATCAAATATATATGTATATGTTTAAAATCCCAGCATCTCAGATCACCTTGCCTTTAGGAACTGCCAAATACTGAAACCATTTCCCACGCATATCTCTGAGAATCGCTCCCCACATAGCACTCACGCTTCCCAAGAGTCTCCCTTTGCTAGATATTATAATTCAAGCTGGCAGTGATAGAGCATTGTGGTACCCAGAGGTATACTCTTGATGAGGAAGCAGAGTGCTTCTAAAAACCTAGGAGAAAGAAAAATGCCACCGAATAGCTCCCACCGATTAGCGGCAGCCCCCGGGTCTCTACTTGTGAGAGCTTAGTGAGCAGTGAGCTGGCTGAAAGTGAGTAGTGGCACAGTGGAGTCTCAAAGCTGTATTTGCAGAGCGAGCTTGTGATTTTATGAGGGATGATGGGAGGAGAGACACAGGGGAGAGCAGAGTTTGCTGGAGAACGGCCCTGCCTCTGCCAGCTCTCCCTGTCACATTGCTGTGTCTGCTAGGGTGGGGGCTGGATTTCATTTTTAACCTTGTGGGCTTCTTATAATAATCGCATATATATCTTGAATGCATTCTTATTTTGAAAATTTTTATGTTTTATTTTGCATCATTTCACAACAGTGTGCACACTATATTATCTTTCTCAGTTTATCATGCTGTGAGGTGCTGAGGCTTACAGGGAGCAGATCATGTTAAGAGGGGAGTGAAGCCTTAATTCCTTCTCTCTCACCTCATCTTTTTATTGTTAGCCATTCCGTCAAGTGAGGAAGGAACTGCTGATGAAGAACTGGTCATCACCATGAGATGGCCACTAAGTGTGGTCCCTGAGACTCCAAAAGTGTGGAGTATAGAGGCACCTATTCCCATTGCACTAGGGAAGGCTCTTACACTCACACCTTCTGAAATGTGGTACAGATAAGCCAATCAAGCAGAAGTCTAAACCAGTCAGCTGCAGAAAATTCAAATCCTGTCACAGTGTCAAAATTCTTCCTCTTTGTTTTGGGAAAGAGTGGGCAGAGTCTTGGTGGGACCATCTATTCTCTGTCACTTACAGCAGGCTCCAGTATGTCACTGGTCTGGGAAGTGGTGAATTCTTGGGAAAGATTCTCCAGTAAGGAAGGATGGTGAGAGATTAATTTTTTCACCTACCCATATACTATATCAGCAAATCACAGTCCCTGGGTAGAACAGATCGCACTTTGTGAGATCCTCAGTTAATTCCAGTATACAGTGAAGTATATGAATTTGTAAGGATGGTTCCAGCTGGAGCCAAGTAATCTGCTTCAAACTGGTTTACACAACAAGGAAACAGAATCAGGACAGGATTTGGCTCTTTCTTGTCCTGGAGGTGGAGTCAGAGCAAAGCAAAAGGGGCCCAGTGCTGAAGAGAGAGACAGGAGCTGGGCACATTCTATCAGTGCCTACTGCTGGGAGTAAGTGTAAATTTTGCTCATAGTTTAATAACTTTCCAAACACTTTATAAATCATATTGTAATCATAAAGTTACCTTTTTGAGAGTATATTTTAAGTGCCATTTAGAATAGAAAATATGTGCATCAAATCCTTGGCCTACCTGGTGTGGCACTAACTATACTCAGCGAAGCTGTCCCCCTTTTCCCTGGACCTCTCCATTCTCCTCAGGGTGGCTGCCATGTGGGGAAGTTCTGCTGAGATGCTCATCCTGCCCTCCCCTTGCCCCCATCTGTTTTCAGTCCCTTGCGCTTGGTCCTATCTCTACTGTTTTATGTCAAGCTCCAGAGAACTCTTGGATACCTTAGTTTGGAGACAGTAGTTCTTTTGCCCTGGCTCTACAGACACTGTCTCTGTCTCAAAATTCCCCCCAATCAGGGAACTCCTTCTGGAATTTTACACTTGGCGCACTCATATTTAAGATCCTGTTTGATATGGGTCTTTGGATTTCATCTTGTCAGGGTGAGTGCAGAAGCTGGTGAGAAGGTCACTGATTTGCTCTATTTCCCAGCATTCACATGAACTCCCAATGTCCCCTTTCCCCTGCTCCAGCCAGTGTTTTCTTATCCTCCACATGGCAACAGGTTCACCTGGCTGGCTGTCCACCGAGAGCCCGAGTTCAGATCACACACGCCTGTTTGCCTTATCTCCAGGTTCATGGCTGCCACCCTTTTACTCTTAACTGTATCTCTGGAAAACCATCAAGAGATCATCTGGTTGCGCTCTTAGAGGAGATGGAAGACAAATACTCAACAAATGGCTGCTTCTCCCCTTTAGGGAGCCTGCTATTTCATTTTGTAAAATATCTCTGCTTAGACGATTCTCGCCTTTGAGCTGAAAACTACCTTTTAGTAACTTCCACACATTATTCCTCCTACATAGTGCAGACTAAGCTAGAGATCCTTGCATACCCTTGTATTTCCCTATTCTAGGTAGTTCTCTATTGTTGCCTAATGTTCTGCATCTTTCTCTGGCTTCTCATACCATGTGAGCAATGGACAGCTCAGCTGATCTGTTCCTCCACTACTCGGGGATTCCCTGGGTTGAAACACTAGTTTGGGCTTGGGGTCAGAATCTTGCACCTGTGCCTACGCACAGAAGGGGAAGGCAAGGCTGAGATCAGGGACCCAGGGTTACCTCAGTCCAGGGATAGAAAGGCAGGCCAAAATGATGGTCAGTTATATCTTTCTCAAGGATTTTAAGTAAAACAAAACAAAACAAAACAAAGCAAATCAAGGAACTGAAACATATGTTACAGATTTCAAGGCAGTAAAAAGAATTGATAATTATAGGAGCTAAAGCAATTAGATCAGATTAGATGCTTTTCTTCAATGCTACATATGTTGGTGTTGAGCAGAAATTTATAATCTTTGGATACATTTTCATGAGTTTGGTATTTTTAGATTATATAAGTATTTGGAAAAAAGTAGATAAAAATTTAATGAGAATGAATTTGTAATTGGAAGTTCTAGAGAAAATAAAGCATATTTAGTAGAAGACTGGAAAATATTTTGAGGCAGTAAATATTTCTCCAAGGGGATGAAAAAACATGAATCTAACCCGCATGATAATGACCTGGCTGCCAACCATAACAATCTCTGAATGAAGAGTAAAGTTACAAAAAGAAGAAAAAGACAAAGTGATTTCAGGAACAAACTTTCAAATCACCTTTCCTAGAGTAAAAGAACATTAGAAAAATTAAATATAGCATGCATTTGGAAGCAATATACATCTATTATTTTAAATTACAAAGTAAATGCCAGGAAAACAAGCCTTAAATTAATAGTTTTGGGAAATTGTCACATCACTGAATAAAGAAAAGCTCCCTCCCCCCAAAAAAAAGAAAGAAAAGAAAAAGACATGACTCAATTAGAATATTCAAAACTTCTAGATGCGTGTGAGGAACAACTGTAATATTCATAGTGCTTACTTTCTGAATTTAACTTTATTATGCTCTTTATTTCTCAAAGAAAAAGGTAGCAGCAGTACAAATTAAATATTGCTCAACCATTGAAGATATTTTAATGGTACCAATAGCTCACAGGGAATTGACTCACTTACTGGATAGCCTGGGTCTATTTGATGGCCAAGTACAACCTGACTTTCTGTATCTGTGAAATGTAGTTAATAATCCTCTCTCTTATTGCATTTCTGTGACAGTAAATGAATTATCTCACAAGCAGCATCAAAAATAGTGCTTTGCCCAGTGTAAGTCCTCTGTAAGAAGTCCTATATCTGAGAATCCATTTCCTGTCATTGCTTGTCCCTGGGAGCACGCCAGCTCCTCCGTCTTCAAAAATGAATGTGCTGTGCCTGGAAGTCCTCCCCGTCCACACAGCCACGCACACACTTGTCTGCTCCTTTGTGGCAGTGGCTCCTCTTTTTCCTTTTCATTTGAGGCCTGGCTTAAGTGCTGCTTTCTCTTCCAGCTCCCGTGTTCAGGATTTTCTCATTGTCTCAATGTCATGGGACAGATGTTGTAGACTTTACGTTCTCTTGCTTTGCATAATAATTTGTTGTAAATATGTGAGTCTCTCCCCTTAGACTCCAAATACCTTAGAGTCTGTATTGTAGATCCAGCCTCCTCTCCCCAGTTCACCTTGATTCTTACTCTGTATGTATGATGTTGTGCACATGACAGATATATAAATATATTAATTAAAAGAATAAGTGAAAAATGCCTAGGGAAATGCTAATGGGGCTTTTATAATGTATGTATGACAGACTTGTTTTTAAAATCAGTAGACCATGAAAAACAGCTTCAGATGTCTTACCCATTTACAGTATTAGAGTCCCTTTTCAATTTCTGCCTCCTCTAGTGTCTACCTGAAGCTTCAGGCATGCTATATTGCTAAAGATAGTATCCCACATAAAAGACAAATAAAAATTCCCTTGTGAATACTGAAAGAACAAAACTAGATGTCTTATATATAAAGTCTGTTTTACAAAAGTCTACAGATACTTCAGGTATATCTATAAAGAGATAAATGATAGAATCCATTAGAATGTAGGTATGGGGAAGGATGTCTTGCCCTTAAAATGACAAGCTCTCAAGTCTCATGGCCTCCAGTTATTGTATATGTTATCAGCCAAGCCACACACACAGTTAAATTCTACCCTCTGTCAGCTCCTTGCCTCTATCCTGGCAGCTGAGTGTAACTAGGACTTGCTATACCTTTGCATCACCTATAGAGTTCCACTATTTATAGCAGTCGCACTGTTTAGTTCCCACTCTTCTAGAGAGCTACTGTCTTGTTTACTTTTCTCTCATTGATGAGACAGAATAGAGGATGCCCAAAATGAAGGAAGGAAAGGTTTATTGAGCATACAGTTTTGGGAGATTTCAATCCACAGTCAG